GCCGCAGAAAACCGCCGCCCCGACAAAACCAGCGCTCCCGCCCGAGACATCCTTCCGTTTACGCTGGACTGGCGCCTTAGTCTTCTTTGAATTGGCGCCGCTCCCAGTAAGAACAACGCTCCCGCTCGAGGCTTCCTCTCTTTTTCCTCGAGACGGTGCTGTCCCTCGCCGCCGACAACCCCCGTCCCGACAAAACCACGGCTCCCGCTCGATGTTTCCTCCCTTCTTACTCAAGGCGGTGTTCCTCCTCGCCGCAGAAAGCCGCCGCCCCGACAAGACCGGCGCTCCCGCCCGAGACTTCCTTCCGTTTTACGCTGGACTGGTGCCCTACTCTTTTTCGAATTGGCGCCGCTCCCTGCAAGAACAACACTCCCGCTCGAGATGTTCTTTATTTTTCATCGGGACAGTGCTGTTCCTCGCCGCCGACAGCCCCTGTCCCGACAAAACCACGGCTCCCGCTCGATGTTTCCGCCTTTCTTACTCAAGGCGGTGTTCCTCCTTGCCGCCGAACGCCGCCGTCCCAACAAAACCAGCGTTCCTGCTCGAGACTTCGTTTCGTTTTATGCTGGACTAGCGCCCTACTCTCTTCAGCATTGGCGCCGCTCTCAGCAACAACAGCAGCCCTGCTCGAGACTTCCTCCCTTTCTATTCAGGGCCAGGTCCTTGCCTCACCGCCGACAGCCCCCATCCCCAGCAAAGCAATCCTGTCGTTCGATACTTCCTTGTGCTTTACCCTTCGCTGGGGTTTGACTTTCGGTCTCGCATCGGCGCAGCAAGGCGCGGGCATGTGTTTTCGAGGCGGGATATTTTGAAATTCCTCGGAGGAGGTGTTTGCAAGACCTTATTGGGCGGGAGATCTGGGAATGGAAATTACGGACCCCGCTATAGAACAAGAGTCCCCCATGATGTGGATGATTATCATGATGGTCGCACGATTCGTGTGGAAACATCGCGCATGAGGATGAACTGATTGTTGTTGTTGTTGTTGCTTAGGTTGTTGTTGATGTTGTTGCTGTTGTTGTTGCTGCTGCTGTTGTTGTTTTTGTTGTTGTTGATGTTGTTGTTGTCGTCGTCGTTGTTGTTGTTGTTGGTTGTTGTTGTTGTTGTTTGTTGTCGTTGTTGTTGTTTGTTGTCGTCGTCCCACCCGCGACCCACCCGCGACCCACCCCGCGACCCACCCGCGACCCACCCAGCGACCCACCCGCGACTCACCCGCGACCCACCCCGCGACCCACCCGCGACCCAACCGCGACCCACCCGCGACCCACCCGCGACCCACCCGCGACCCGGCCCGCGACCCACCCGCGACCCACCGTCGACCCGGCCCGCGACCCAACCCGTGACCCACCCACATTGTTTGGCCAAAAAATCGGCGCCTGCGGCGGGCTCGTTTGATAGGTTGAAAAATTCTGCGCCTGCAGCGGGCTTCTTCAGAGCCTCGCAGACTGCCGACGTACCCGCCGCCCCCTCACTCTTATCCGCAACCGCGGGGTGCTACGGGATATATAGATGTTCGTGTATGTATAATGCCAGAGTGCTGCCCCCCCCGGCCCCCCGCGGGACAGAATGACAGATAGGGCCACCCCTTGGGCAACCGAATTTGGCCCCCGGGGCCGGGGACCATTTTTTGCTTTTCAAAACGCTACAAGAACAGCCATGATGGCTTCCAGACAGCCCAAGAGGCCTTCAAGACGACCTGAGAGCGCCCCAAGAGCACTCCAAGACCGCTCAAGATGATCTCAGGACGGCCAACAGGCCCCCCAGAAGGCCCAAGAGAGCTTCAAGAGCCCCCGAAGAGGGCCCCCATTCCTGTCGGAACAGGTATTTGTTTAGCACTTTCACCATTTTGGTTTCCACAGCTCCAAGACGGCCCAACTGCTTCTCCAAGATCGCCCCAAGACTGCCGAAGGGGCCCCCAATGAGGCGTCAAAGCTGCCCAAGAGAGGTTGAAGACGGCCTACGAGGCGCCCAAGACGTCCCAAAAAGGAGGATTCGAACTCACATTTCGAGTTATCCGCCTCAAGGGGGCCCCAGCGATTGCCAGCAGGCCCCAAAGAAGCTCCCAATATGCCCCCATTACGCCCAAACTTTTGTCGAAGAGGCACCCAAACGGCCCCTGAGAGGCCCAAGAGGCTCCAAATCTGCTTCCAACAAACTCCGCAGAGGAACCCCAAGGGACCCAAACATGCACCCAACAGGCATCTGACCCACAACCCACGCGCTGTGGCGGTATTCTCCCCTTCCCCAGCCTTTTATACATTTGGCCCCAGGCCATACCCAAGCGAGCCACACGAGAGTCCCAAGAGACAATCTCCAAGGGAGAAACAGCACGGCTCCAAGATCCCGAATTCAAATGCAAGAGCTTGCGTTGCGAACGGCTTTCATTAATCGCCCGCATCAACTCTGCGAGTGGCCTGTTTCTTTGAGCTCTCACGCCGCCAGCGACATCGTCAACCCGTCTCACCGCGGCCAGTCGACTTGCAGGCCTTGCAGGCCCTTCAGCCGCACATGCATTCAACCTTGTCGCGCACCAAAAGCACGCTGGTCAGAACCATGCGTACAACTATGGCAATTCGGGCCTTTCGCCTCATCCTCTAGGTGTCGCTTCAAGCATTGCGTTCCCAAAAGTTGTAACCCCTGGCAGGTCATCAGATGCGCCTCACGTTTCATTTGGAAGAACTGGCACGCCAACGCCTGACGCTTCCATCAACCCGAGGGTTCCTACGTCCGATACGTGCGCCCGGAACGGCATGTGCAGGCGACTGCTGCGGAAACCGCGTAGGTTCTTGCAGACAACGGCCCGTTGTCCGATGAATTGCCCGTGCGCGCCGTCAGACATGACCCACATCATTGAATACGAATTTACTGGCCCGCCCGAGCGTCCCTGCGCCACTGTCAGTCACGACGCCGCAGTTCGCCAAGCGAAGTCTTCGCACTCACTGGTTAGCCTCTCCGGCAACCCGCCATTCTATCCATGAGCCGCTGGCACCGTCGACTACGAAGATGCTCGCCCGCTGGACTGTCCCAGCGACATTGCCAGTCACGACGCCGCAGAGCGCCAGGCTGCATCTTCGCACTCGGTGGTCAGCCGCTCCGGCATTCCGCCACTTTGTCCACCAGCCACTGGCATTGTTTCTTCGACGTCCACTCCTGCAACACCCTTCATGGCACATAGTGTCGACCACGATCGCATTCTAGGCAGCATCCGAGACAGGGGGCCCCTCCACGCCCTCAACGACGGCCGCGCCCTCGGCGCCACCCTGGTCCTCAGCGTCAGGCATCATGCTGTCCCTGCGTCGCCTCAAGGGGGCGTCACGGGAGCCTCAAGTGGGCCTGAACGGAGCCTCAAGGCCTCAGGTCTGAGCCGCAACGGCTATCGAAAGGGCAAGGGGAAGGGGGCGGGGGCCCACGAGGGCTCAAGGAGGACGGCGCCCGGGCCGAGCCCTCACGAGGGCCTCTCCGTCCATCATCTCCTCGTATTGCCTCCTCTCTCCCCCCTGTTCTTCCTCCTCCTCCTCTTCCCACGCCTACGCCTACGCCTACGCCTACGCCTACGCCTACTCCTCCTCCTCCTTTTCCTCCTCCTCCTACCTCTCCTCCTCCTCCTCCTCCTCGTCCTCCTCCTCCTCCTCCTCCTCCTCCTCCTCCTTCTCCTCCTCCTCCCCAGTCCCGTCTTCCTCTCCAATTTCCTCCCCTCCTCCTCTTCTCTACCCCCCTCCCCTCCCCCCCCGTATCAATGATACGAAGAGGAGCATGGGGGGGCGAAGGGGGGCAGCAGGGAGAGGAGGAGGAGGAGGAGGAGGAGGAGGAGGAGGAGGTGGTGGAGGAGGAGGAGGAGGGGCTGAGTTTATACCCCGCCGAGAGAAACTTCTGGGGGGGACTTCGAAACTAAAGATCTTCCGACCTTAGCAATAACCTGCGCTATTGGATTCGGCCGCCACGTGCCCCCTTCGTGCGTGAATGTGGCATCACTGACGCAGAGCGATGATTTTTCTTTTGGTCCGGCAGCATTTTAGATAACGCTGCCTGCATCCTTGGATCCTCCGCGGGGTCGAGCCCCACGCCGACAGGTGACTGCGTGTGCCCATCAGGCCCTGGTGCCGAGACAGATGCAACATGTACAGGTTCACCCTGCATAGGCCACTCCTGCCTAGGGCTCAAGGGAAACACACCGACCCTCACAATTGAGGTTTGCTGGGCGGCCCTGGGCGGTCACTGGACAGCCCTGCCCTGTTCGAGTCTTGCCTCTGGTGCGTCTGCTAAACGGCTTCGTGTTCGGGGTGTGTATTCTGAGGGCTTTTGCTTTTGCTCTCGAAGGGCCGCTGCTGCGCGTAGCCGATCGGAGCGGAGAATCACGCTGAGTCAACAACGAACTCCTGGCCGCAAGCCCAGGAGCAGGGGCAGCGGCAACTGGGGCGGCACGGGGGCAGGGGTGTCGCGGCCGTTGTGGCGGCGGTGTAGGAGGCGGGGGGGGGGGGGGCAAGGGCAGGAGGCAGCAGCAGGCAGCAGGAGGCAGCAACGAGGATCAATCCTCCTCCTCCCCTCTCCCTCCTTTACCCTCTGCCCTCCGTCGTCCCCCGCCCTCCATTCCCGACCCGCCTCCCTCCCTTCCCCCTCCTCCCTCCCCCTTGCCGCCCAACCCCCTGAGCGCTCCCGTGGGTAACCCCCCCTTGCCTCCTCTGCCAGCCCCCCCTGGCGCGCACGCAGAACGCACCAGAGGCGGCGACGGAGAGCCGCCGCCAAGGGGCCGCCGCCGAGGGGCTCTCTCAGCGCAGAGCCACGAAACCCGCGCGCGGATCTCGGACAGAGCTCGCGTTGGACTCTGAAGGGGCCGCCGCCGAGGGGCTCTCTCAGCGCAGAGCCACGAAACCCGCGCGCGGATCTCGGACAGAGCTCGCGTTGGGATTCCTTCTCGGTGGGGAGGGGGGGGGGGAGAAGGACGAGGACTGGGCAGAGTGGAGTGACTCCTCCCCCTCCTCGGCCGCTGCTCTGGCCCCAGGGAGGGCCCCCGCCACGCCCCCCCCCCCGGCGCCGGCGCCGCGCGCACATGGCTCGCCCACCGCCGCGCGGCGGGCCCGCGGCGGCGGCGGCGCCTCGCGCGATGCTGGCCGTTCTGGCGGCGCCGTCGCCGCCAGCAGCCGCCGCCGCCGCCGCCGCCGACGACCTCGCCGCCGCCGTCTAACGCAGGTCGTGGTTGTGGTGGCCGCCGGCGCTGTCGCCGTGCCCTTGGATCCAGGCGGTGCAATTCAGAGGAGGAGAAGGTACCCATACTGATGCCCTTGCCTCACTGTTTCCCTTTTTTGGCCTCCTGGGAGGCCCGCGTCGCCACCAGTGGATTCGCCTCGAACTTCTGGTCAGAAGGCACCACAGGAGAGGCCCCGGGAGTACCAGTATCGAGACCTCTTGGTTTCCCCAGCGATTGTTTCAGACCGGTCATTTTCTCACCGATTCAGGGCCTCGGGGCCATCCCTTACCGATTTGGTTCAGAAAATGCCGCAGGAAGATGGGGTCTATAGGGCTCTGGGCTCTGGACATGATGCTATAGGGATGTCTCTTGCTTTCGCAACGTCGGCTCTGAGGGTGTGCTCTCGTTGAGAAAGATCAGTTGCTGCTGATCCCCCCCTGCCCAGCGCGCATTGTTTTCTCAACTCAGGCGCCGCCCAGCGACGCTCGAGCCTTGTGTTGCATTTTGGTGTGGATGAATGCCTTCGGGCTTGAAGCGTACCCCTGCCACCCCCCAGCTACAGCGGCGAGAACGGCATCCGCCTCCGGAGCTCTTGACCACCTGTTCCGAGATCGCGCTCTCGAGACTTCCGTGCACTGCGTCTTCTGCATTTCGGGCTCTCGCCTGTGACCTCCTCAGAATCCATTCATCGGGGGTGGACAGACCTCCTACCCTGACACGTCGATTAGTGAATTGTCCGTTTTCGGTTGTCGAGAGGGTGTCGCGGCCGTTATTTTTGCGGGTCCAGGTCCGTCGGTTTCGGTCCCAGGTCGTTTTCACTAAGGGGAGGTTCACGAAAGGGAGGTTTGTCCACCGCCGAATTCAGGCGCCGCGCTCTCTACACTCAGGACGGGCGCTTCCGCCCAGAACTCCACTCGCGGTTTCACTGGGGCGCCGCGCTCTCGGCACCCAGAAATCTGTTACCGCTCAGGGCTACCTCACGCTTAGCTTGGGAACCGCGCCCTCGCCTCAGGTATCCAAACAATTACTCCAGATTTCGTACTAGAGGGAGGGGGGTCTCATTTCGGGGGGGGTCTCTTCCAAGCTATCTTGGAGGGCCTGGGGGGGTCTGGGGACGATGTTTTGGAGGGTTCTCCCACGGGGGGCGGTCTGAAATGGCTTGTCTTGGAGGGTCCAGACCCCCTCCCTTTTATTACGAAATCTGGAGTAACGCTTTCGTGTCCTGCCCGCCCCACCGGCCCGTGAGGGTCCGCCTTTTTGCTTGCGTGGAAGGCTGCCCGCTCTTGTGTCCCGCCCGTTGGGGTCTACCCGCCCCATCCGCCTGTCTTACCGCGTCACGGCTTACCCAGGAGCTGGATTGAAAAAGGAAGTCTCCCCCCACAATGAGGGGGGGGGGTACGTTTACAGAAGAAGAGGGCGGGAGTCGAGGGCTTTGGGTATATCTATTAAGTGGCACGCGCGCGAAAAACTAACCGTCCTAAACTAATAACAGTTGCTTTCGTCATTGTCGTTGGGGGAGGAGGGGGATGGAGGAGGAGATTGGATGAGGAGGGGGGAGTACGGAGCAGCTTCGAAATAGCAGGCGTCAACGTCGCATCCGTCGTCGTAGGGGGAAGAGGAGTCGACGTCGTGGTTGTCGCCGTCATCTTCGTCAGATGGGGGAGCGGAGCGATGATTGGAGGGGGATGAGAAGGAGGAGGAGGAGGAGGAGGAAGAGGAAGAGAAGGAGGAGGAGGAGGGAAAAGGAGGACGAGCAGGAGGAGGGAGGAGCACAGGGGAGGGACAAGGGAGCGAAGAAGAGGGGTCTTGAACTCCAGGAAGGACTTGCGCTCCGGATTCGCAACGAGGAGGAGGAGGAGAAGGAGGAGGAGGAGGAGGAGGAAAAGGAAAAGGGACGATGAGGAAAAGGGAGGAGGAGGAGGAGGAGGAGGAGGAGGAGGAGGAGGGAGCAGGAGGAGGAAGGAGGAGGAGGAGGAGGGAGCAGGAGGAGGAAGAGGAGAAAAAACATGGAGGAGGAGGGGGAGAAGCAGGGGGGAGGAGAAAGGAGGAGGAGGAGGAGGAGGAGGAGGAGGAGGGGAGGAGGAGGAGAAAGTGAAGGAGAGGAGGGAGGAGGAGGAGGAGGAGGAGGAGGAGGAGGAGGAGAGAAGGGGGGGGGGAGGAGGACAGGGAAGCAGGGAGAACAGGTCAGGTGGGAGAGGAGGTGGAAGAGGGTGACGAGGAGGAGGAGGGGAGGAGGAGGAGAAGGAGGAGGAGGGAGAAAGAGGAGGGGAGGAGAAAGAGGAGAGGAGGAGGAAAGAGGAGGAGGAGGAGGAAAAGGAGGAGGGGAGGAGAAGGATGAGGACGTGGAGGGGAGGAGGAGGAGGAGGGAGGAGGAAAAGGGAGAGGACATTAGGAGGAGGAAGGAGGGAGGGGGAGGGAGGGAGGGAGGGAGGTGCCGAAGGAGAGGAGGCAGCGGCGCGGGCAACGCTGGCGGCCGCGTCGGCGGGCCCGCGGGGTGCCCGGGGCAGCCAGACATCGCCGACGGCGTGGCCATGCTGCAGAAGCCGCCGCGCCCGGCCTGGGGCAGCCGAGGGCACGGGGGATGGCGCGGGTCTGCTCCTCTCCTCTCTCCTCCTCCTCCTCCTCTCTCCTCCACCCTCCCTCTCCTTCTCCTCCTCCCTCCTCCCTCCTCTCCTCCTTTTCCAGCTCGTCCTCCTCCTTTCCCAACTCGTCCTCCTTTTCCAACTCCTCCTCCTCTCCTCCTCTCCTATCCTCCTCCTCCTCCTCCTCCTCCTCCTCCTCTCCTCCTCTCCTCCCCTCCTCCTTCCTCCTCCTCCCCACCCCCTCCTCTCCTCCTCCTCCTCTCCTCCTCCTCCTCCTCCTCCTCCTCCTCCTCCCCAGCCGCCGCTTCTGCTCAAGCCTCCTTTTCAGCGGCCCAGCAGGCACCCCGCGCAGAGCAGCTCCGCCCGCCAGGGCGCCTTCCATGACATGCCAGCCTGGCTGGCCTCCATATTCTTCATAACGATCTGGATCGTTACGCCGTTCCTCAGTGGGGGAGTATAGTATCCAATTTCGCTGCTGGAGCTGCATCGCTGCCTCGTGCTCAGCCGCACCTACAGCGCCGTGGACGAGAAGCTGCTCCCAGCTACGCGTTGGCGACTCCACGACGCCAGCTCAGAAGTCGACCAGCTCAAGACTCAAGCACGACGTCTACACGTGGGGCTATGGCCGCGCATCGCTCACCAATTGGCATGCTGGCAGAGTGATCATGGTGAGCTACCAGAGGTTCGGTCCGCCAGCCGTCGTCGACTTCAAGAGCCCGCCCAAGCAGATACAAGGATGCGCAGGTGCCCTCCGCTACCTGCGGGGCGAGCTCGACCTCGCCTTCCTCGTGGCCTACTTCCCGCCTCGCACAGGGCCAGCGGCAAAGTACATCCAGTGTGTCAAAACGGTCAAAGAAACGCTCAAGTGGATCAACAGGACGCTTCATGCCACACCGACGTGCAGCACACCGTCGTTAGGCATTCACCTCAAAGTTCTTCAGGCTGGAGCCGATGGATTCATTGCTACTGGAGTAGTTGAAGCCTTCGGAGACTCGCAACTACACGGTCGGCCAGGTGAAGCAGCAGCTTGCTTTTACCTGCTGGACGATTACGGTCTTTGCATCCCCAATACCTTCTGGATGGCCGGCCCTACCTATTCTAGTGCTGCAGGACAAGCTACGAGACCTGATTACCTCGTGGTTCCTCAAGGGCTATTGCAGAGTCCCCAGACATGCGGAGTTTGGTGGATGGCAGTGAAAGCAGTTCAGCAGCTCAAGGACAGCGTGCCGTGGGACCACGAGCCACTCATCGCCAGGGCCGACATCGTTATGCACAAATTCGTCTCTGGCATTATTCGGTCGTCTTGGGATTGCGACAAAATGGCAGAGTCTCTACCGACTCGGTGATTATCACAACGAGTTCTTCTCAGCCATAGCGACCGCGCTGGAGAACTCCACTGATACCTTCCGCGAGCTCAACGAGCAGGGCTCCACTTACGCCTACAGGAAGATGCTGACCGACAGGCTCAAGATCACAGCCAAGCCCTACTTCGAGAACCAAAAAAAGCCTGGCACCAGCAAGCTGCTCATGGCAAAGAAGCTCGAGCTGCTCAAGAGAAGTGCTGAGCTACGGAAGCAGTGCATCGGCGTAGGGATCGACCGTGACATCGGAGAGAAGCAGGCCACACTCACGATAACTATCAAGAGGCAGAAGCAACTTCACGACGCAGCACTCAAGAGAGCATCAGAGGCACAGATTTCTGAACAGCACGCAGAAATACATCGACCCAGCAGGTGCATGGCAGGCACCAAGCGTGGCAAGAGGAACCGCTACTACTACAGTGGGGCAACCCGTTCGAGACCGAGCCGCACCGAGAGGACTACGCAAGGTGCACTCAATCGCGCTCAAGGAGGATTTCAGGCTCAACCCTCCGACTTCGAGGAAGAGAAAAAAACTGCTCCTGGCCGCCTGCGAGGACCGCGACGACGATGCCAAGCAGCAGATCATGGACGAGTATCACGAGGAGAAAGAGAACTTGGGCATCCTTTGCTACGGAGTCAAGAAGCGGCCCAAGTACCTCACAAAACGAGCTCCAGATCCCGAGTGGCCGTTGCAAGCTGAAATTTCCCAGATCATCCTGCAGCCTACAGTTGCCACAAAGAGGAAGCCGCAGACCCAAGGCCTCGGTTACTACGAGGAGCTGATGGAGGCGCCGCGGACAGTTCTACGGCTCGAAGGGCTACTCCACCATGTCTACCGGGTCGGCTTAGCTCCATTGGACGCTCAGTACAGCCCGCGCCTCACGCTCGATAAGATGAACGCCAAGCCTTCAGTTCAAGGATTGCGTACGCTGCACATGTTTTGTCCACTCAGGCGCTGCGGGCACAGTCAACTACACTGCCAGGCTCTTCCTGGACAAGATCAACGCAGCGACAGTACGACGCAAAGTCTAACTCATCTAACTCTGCAAGTGCTTCGACTCCTACCAAGTGCAGCTCACGCAGTTCATCGCGATGGGCCCAAGGACGGACGCGGAGAACAAGGCGGAACCGACGGAGAAGCAGCAGCAGTGAGTCAGCATCCAGGATGCCATTCATCGCGTACTACTTCAGATTTGCGCGGTGGTCAAGGAGGGCATGGCACCAGCGAGAGTCAGGGATGGCGTGCTGGCTGCCTGGTTTGCAGGACAGTGAATTTGTATGGAGGCTGACTGTCTACGCCATGGTCGGTTTCAAGCTCGGCGCGCACGACGCCGCGAGCTGAGTGAAGGCGCCCGCACTGCGCGGGCGACGGCGGGGGCTAGAGCAAGAGGCACGCGCCAGACTCCGCCCCCCGATGCCGCTCTTCTTCTTATTCCTCCTCCTCCCCCCGTCTTCTTCGAGGAGCTCGCGTCTGCGATCGCTGCGCTCCGTCGCGAGCTGCAGCAAGTCAAGGCCGACCTGGCCATCGCGAGTGATGAGTCGGCGGTGGTCGACGCTTCGAAGCATGGCTTCGATGGGAAGGTGGACCCCCGCATGGTTGAGATCTACGATTCGCCCCCATCTCCGGCGGCCCCAGTCCAGCCCGCGATCGCGGCCTTCTTTGAGGAGCTGGGCGTCGCGAGCGACAAGCACGAGTTCAAGGGCAAGAGTGTGGCTCAGCACTTTGAGGTGATCTTCGGTGGGCCTTCGGTCCCCGCGTCTAGGCTGGTCTCTAAGGCTTCGGGGGCTCTTGCTGTTCGCGGTGCGTGGCGGCTGTTTGATCTTCTGCTACCCGGTGGCATTGCTGCGAAGCTTCAACTTGGCCCCGACAAATCTTCGCGTCATATTGCAACGGAAGTTTCGGGTGAGAAGATCAAACATGAGCTCATGCAGAAGTACGGCGGCGTCTGGTTCCTGGACAGAGAGCGCGGCGCCATCCCCCACGAGTGGACGGACCTGGTCAAGATCGAACCTCAGCCGGCCAGAGCACCCGCCAAGCTCCATTTCAACCGCAATTTGTTCACCAACCCCACGCGCTTCGACCAGCAGGAAGTGGTGGATCTGCTCACTCCTGTTGTTGCCGGCGGTCGTGTGGGGCCCGACTGGCGCTTGCTTTAAAAACTTCCGGATGGACCTGTGGCCCGGTGGCCTTTCGGATGGCGCTGGCCATTTCTTGTTGACGACGTGGAATTGCAGGGCTCTGCTGCATTACAAGGGTGCGAGAGCCGCGACTAAGATGTCGCACGTGCGTTCGCTGCGGCCGCAGAGCTCGATCGTAGCCTTACACGAAGTCCACAGTGACCCTTGCCAGTTCGACCTCGTCTTGCATAAGCTGGCACCCAGTGCTATGGTCAAGTCTTCGCTCTGTGCTGGTTCCAGCGGCGCACGCGCCGGAGGTGTTGCTACGGTGCTACCGCCAGGTATCGCATGGGCGAATGAATATGTGGAGGCTCCGCTTGTGCGTGGTCGCGCTCTCCGGCTCCATTTGGTTTTACCACATTGCCAGCTCTACCACTACAAGATGCACAATCATGGCTTGAATGCTGCTCAAGTTCGGTTGGTAACGCAGCATATTGCGCGGGACAAACAGCGTGTTGACGCAGCTCCTGCATGCTGTTTGTTGGTGGTGCTTAGCGACTTCAACTTCGCCCCGCTTTATGACATGTACCTTGATATTCATCTGCACTCTGGCGATGCCGGTGGGGCTGACAGCGATTCCAATGCTCATCTTCGCGCTCCAGCTCCTCGCTGGAAGGAGTTCTGGACTCACTATTTGAAGTGCTCGGCGAAGCCGGCACGCACTACACCGCGGCCACGAACACAGTCTCATCGATTGACCGTTGTTGGTCTCCCCGGGTGGGTGCTTCGCCAGCTGAACATGCATTCGACTGTTCAGCGGGCGCCAGAGCGCGCATGCCAGAAGAAGATTAGCTCTCCAGAGAAGAACAATGTTATGGGCGCCACAAGGCAAGACACTTTTTCTTCACGCTTTGCACTTGGACGGTGGGTCTGCGCTCACCGATGCGATGGACACGCGTCGCTCTAAGGTACAGCATCGGGCCCCGGCGTTTTCGGCCACGCCCCGAGAGGAAGCCACCGGTAAGACATGCATTCAACGATTCGTTCCGCGGGCTGATCTTCGGGACCTGCCGCCGATTTTGCCACGTGCGCGGCGTGTACTTCGGCATGCTCGCCCCGCGGCTCCAGGCCTGGATAGACTTCGCCGCGCTGCCTGGCAGGCTCGTGAATTTGGCGCTTCCCTGCTCTACGATGCGCTTGCGCGGCAAATGCAAGGCCGCCCCCTCTTGGCAAGCTCCGCGGACACCCCGCGGATATTCGCGCCCGAGGGCGAAGATCTCCCAGACTCTCGCCGGAACGGCTGCGCGCGCAGGGCGGGCAACCTACGAGTGCTAGGGAGGCTCAGTACTGGTGGCCTCAGTGATCAACGGCTCTCTCACGCGCGCGGCCTCTGCTGTCGCCCTGCGGGCGCAGCGGGGCTTCGCGGCGAAGCGCTCCTTCGTGGTGGACATTCTGGAGCTCGACGCGGCGGATCGGGTTTA